ACCATGTCTAACAAGGTTCGATTGCGCCTCTCAGCTACACCATTTAACTGTGGTGTCCTAGGAGGAGTCAATTGTGAGACTATCCCACATTCTTTCAGATAGTCGTTAAACTCGATACTAAGATACTCCCCGCCTCTATCGGATCTAAGTATCTTTATCTTTCTGCCCAATTGATTTTCGACTTCATGCTTAAACTCTTTGAACTTTTCAAAAGTTTCTGACTTATGCTTGATCAAGTAGATATATCCATATCTGCTATAATCGTCAGTGAAAGTCACATAGAATCGATTAGCATCTCTTGTAGTTGATCTGAAGGGCCCACACACATCTGTGTGTATGAGATCCAACAGACCTTCACCTCTTTCACAAGACCCTGTGAATGGTGATTTTGTCATCTTTCCCAAAAGACAAGATTCACACATATCATCTGATTTAGGTCAAATGATTCCAACACTCCATCCTTTTGGAGTTGGGCTATGCGTTTCTTGTTAATGTGTCCAAGACGACAATGCCACAAGCATGCCTTGTCTACACTATTAGACAAGTCAATATTAAGTACACTATTTCCTAGGCTATCAACACAAGTCACTGTTTCATACACACCATTACAAGGCAAAGCTTCAAACATAAAAACACCATTCTTATAAACAGAAATTGAACCATTCAAATCATTAAAAGAATATGTAAAACCTTGTCTGAACAATGCATGAAATGAAATAATGTTTCTCGTCATCTCAGACGAATAGCAACAATTTATTAAATCTAATCTAACATCATTACTAAGCAGAAGCTGATAAACTCCGATCTTGGTTACTGGTGAAGACTTTCTGTTTCCCATGATCAGGTTTATCCTTCCTCGCTCTATCTCCTCACTTTCCTTTAGACCCTGCAAATCAGAACAGATATGAAAACCACATCCTGTATCAAGGACCCATGAACGAGAAGATAATGAGTTATTAGCAGAAATAGTGTAAATACCTGCCGAAGATGGCTTCACTTTGCCATCCTTGATATCTTGCAGATATTGTGGGCAAGATCTCTTCCAATGCCCCTTTTGATTGCAGTAAAAGCAAACGGCCTCTTTTGGATCAGAAACATGGGGAGTGGAACCATTGGGCTTAGCCTTTGGGCCATTACTAGATGACCCAGCTTGAGCCTTGCTCTTCCAGTTTTGCTTGGGAGGACCTTTCCTCTTTTTCCCCTTTCCCTGTCCAATAGCCAAAACAGGGGCACTCGCAGGTGTGGAGGGTATACTTTTACCCTTCATCCCTGCCTCAGCTGTCTGCAACAAGTTGTGCAATTGGGCCAAGGTCTGCTCAGTATTGTTCAAATGGTAAGTTAGAATAAACTGACCATAACATTCAGGAAGTGAGTTCAAGACCATGTCAATGGCCAATTCCTCATCAAAGTGAATATTGAGCTTGACCAAACGCTCTATGTAGCGTTGCATTCTTTGCACATGTGACACAACCGACTCCCCATCTTTCATCTTGCAAGCCATGAGTGACTTGACTACTTCGAACTTTTCTTGACGAGCTCGCTTATGGTACTTTTCCATAAGGTCCTTGTTCATCTCGAAAGGCCAGTAGTCCTCATAGTACCTCTGCAGTTCTGGGGACATAGTTGCCACCATGATGCATGCCACTTTGGTAGCATCATCGTAATGTTTCTTGTAGGCAGCAAGATCTTCAGGAGTAGCTTCATTCTCATCAAGCTCTTTGAGCTCCTTTTCAAGAACATATTCTTTGTTCTCGAAACGAAGAGCCATCTTGATGTTGCGCATCCAATCGTTATAGTTTGAGCCATCCATAACGACTTTGGAGCAGATATTGAGCAAAGAGAAGTTTTGGTTGGAGGAGGACGAAGCAGAAGTGTTTCCAGGAGTAGACATCTGAAAAGAAAGAAAGTTTTAGTTAGATTTCAAGATACCTTAATAGAATAACCCAAAGATATAATATCAAGGTTAGGATCCAACTATGAAGATTCACAACTTAGAAATGGGATGCCGAGATCCAAGTGCAAATTTCATAAAGGTAGGTGAATGACGATTCACCAATTCCACCATTAGACGAAACAAACGAAGTGAAATTCCTAATTCTTTTGAGATACATTGAAACTATTCAATGGCATGTTTTAATCTCAGATTATGCTCTTCTATTTGTGACTGGGATGCCGAGGATCACAAACAAGATGTGAATAACCATGCAAATGTGCTTGGTAACCTCATTGTCTTTATCATTAACTATTGATGTGCTGGTAAACCACACACGCTCCATCAAAATGACAATTATGAGATACCCATTACTACTCTTTATTAGTGCCTTTTAGTGTGCTGGTTAACCACACACGCTCCACTAACGACCAATAAAGCATAATGTGCAATTTCATGGATTAGCATACTTTTCACATTTTTCCTAAAGTAACTAGAGTTGGGATTTTGAAAATAATGTTCTAGTACTTTCTTTAATATCATTATACTTTTAATGAGAAGTAGTTGTCCTATCAAATCCGTTCTGCTAACGACCCTCCACTAATCAAGGAAGCGGTGGGTGAGAGTGGACACCCATTCAACTACCATTTTATAGGCAGTTTCCTTATACCCCCCTTATAGATTAGCTTCGTGAATGAGGCATACTAGCGATTTGACTGACCATGTTCTTATACATATATAATATTAAACTTTAATTATAATATATATATATAAGGTGTGTTTTAAAACATTTTAAAACTTCAAGGGTTTATAAATTTCGAAATTTAAGCTATTAAATTTAAATTTAAATAAACCAATTAACTAGATTTAATATTTATCTTTTAATTAACTATTAATCAAATTATTAAATCTTGTAAGGATTATCTAATTAAATTAATCCATTAATTTAATCCTAATCCTTATCCCTCTAAATTTCGAAAAATAGGGTAAGGATAATTATCCAATTAATCTAATTAAGTAACAATTATCCAAAACAAGAAACCCTAGTTATCCTCTAGCATATTTCGAAATTCACAAGGGAGGAGGCTAGGGTTTTCAAAACCCTAACCCTAATTTCGATTAGGGTTCTTTGGAGGCTAGGGTTTTCGAAAAACCCTTTGATCCAAAACCCTAGAAATCGAAAATTTGGCCTTTAGGGTTTAATAGCTATAAACCCTAATTTGCAATTCAACAATTATAGCAATTCAATTTAAAACAAACAATGGCTCTGATACCACTGATGGGTTTTAGGTAAAACAAATAAACTAGAAAACAATTCCTAAGTTCACATGCAACCTACTTTGGATCTATGTTTTAACTATTGAACATATAACTTTGAATTGCAAAACAAGAACCCTAGAGGAGAGAGGCTAATTTCGAAATTAACAAACTAGGGTTTAGGAGTTACATACCTTTCAATTGTTATAGCAAACAATTGATAATCCTCTTGATCTTGATCTTGATCTTCTTGGAAGCTTAGCACCACAAATGTAATGCCTCTAATGGAATCACACCCAAGAACTAGCAAGAAGGAAACTTGGAGGAGAGAGGATGAGAGAGTATGCAATTTCGGCCTTAGGGTTTCTTCCAAAGAAATCAGTACCCAAAATGTGAGCCAGGAGGCTCCTTAAATAGTTGAGGGAACTAGGGTTTAGGGAAAACCCTAGTTATCCTTTGCTTAGGGCCTAAGCAAGACCCAAGGCCTTATCTTGGACACCTTGGACGAATTCTCTAGGGTTTCCCCTAGGGTTTTCGTCCACCCCCTTCCAAGGGAGTTCTGGATCCTTCCATTCAACTATTAGTTAATTGCAAACTAGTCCCTGCACTTTATAATTAATTCTTTTAACCCCAAAATCAATTCTGATTAATTTCTGGCTAACAATTAATTAAACATAATGATTTCTAATTAATATATTAATCCATTAACATATTAATAAATCATTTATATATATAATTTATTAATCTTATAAATTAATATCTCTCCTTTCATAATTTCCTTGTCCAGTTGCTAGGTTGAGGGCAACCCAAAAGGACTGTGCTGCTATCAATTCAAGTACATACCAATTATAGTTATGGGCTTAGACACCTAATCCAACAACCATAACGATTCACATTACTAATAACATGTGATTAGTAATGTGAATAACTGTAGATTCATAACGATTTTTTTTAAATAAAAGGGGAAATAATTTTTTATTTACCTGTTTTGTTTGTAGCTGACGTATAGCTCCAGGGTTAAATATCCTTGCAGCAGGTCACCTGATTTAGACAATGAAATTTAACGAATGCGTCATCAATCTTTGGCAAGAATGCTTCATTAACGAAGAACACTACACGAAAGCATGTGTGCATATAGACGAATTCATATGTGATTCACTGTGTTTACATGGAATACATGAATCACTTGTGATACATGTGCATCACATGTTAATTGATATTTGTTCACTTGTGATTTACATGTGGAATCATATAAAACATATGTTATTACATGTGAATCACATGTCATCATATGTGATTTACATGTGAATCAAGTATTCATATGAATTGTCCATATGGAATTACATGTGATTCACATTGTAACCTCACATATGAATTACATGTGATTCACATGTAAATCACATATGTGTTATATGGATTCACATGTAAATCCCATATGATTACATTTGATCACCTGTAAATCGAATATGTGTTATATGTGATTCACATGTAAACACATTGATTACATGGAATCACATATAACACATATGTGTTTACATGTGAATCACAGTAATTCATATCTTGATTTACATGTGAATCACCGTAATTATATGTAAATTACATGTGAATCAAATCTAATTCATATATGAATTACATGTGATTCATATGTGAATAACGTATGAATAACATGTGATTAATAATACACAGTACCATAACGATTCACATTACTAATAACATGTGATTAGTAATGTGAATAACTGTAGATTTATAACGATTTTTTTTAAATAAAAGGGGAAATGATTTTTTATTACCTGTTTTGTTTTGTAGCCTGATGTTACAGCTCCAGGGTTAAATATCCTTGCAGCATGGTCACCTGCAATTGGGAAAATGAAATTTAACATCTTTTTCACACCTTCTTGTTGGGGAAAATTTGTACTTTTTGTCTCATCTGAGTCAACAAGCAATAATCTACAATTTTGCCACTTGTAAAAATAAAAAACTTTACCATTTTATCCATGTATGAGGGGTAGAAATTTGCACCAGATGGTTTCTTCATGGAAAAGGCAGCCTTGTATTCAATTCCATTCCAACCTGGAATCGACTTTGTTGATTCCGGAAGTAATCTAATTGCAGAGTCTGCAGTCGTCAAAAATGCTTCATTTTCATCAAGGCAAGACCTACAAAACCAAATAACCTTAATTTACGCAAATACCAAAGATATGATGAGTGGTCTTATAAGGTATTTTGAAGAACAGGGTCTTACCATGGGCTTTTGTTTACTGAATAATAACTCCATTTCAATTTGTCAAAATGAGACTTATGAGCATTCCCCTTTAACCAATCTCTTAGAGATGGATTGCTGAACAAAACCTGCTGGTGGAAAATATCATCCATCATTCTTGCAGCATGAATGAGTAACACTAATGCTTCCTTGTCCTCCTTGGTCAAACCGGTCAACTGTGGAAAAAAAATAAAGATTCATATTAAAAAATAATTCATATTGTAGTAAATTTGATGCTAAAGTGAGAATACAATTATGAAACCTCTGCAGTAAGTGACATAGGAGCATAACGATTGATCTTCTTTTGAAGATCCAAACTCGGTGCTTCCACATTGCAATGGTACCTTTTCATAATTATGTCAAAAAGTTGACCATATTGCCCCTCTAGACTGTAGGGAACATACTTAGGATCTTCTTTAGCAAGGGCCTGCTTATACTCCTCAATGGAGATATACTTAACAACAGAAACTTCAGATTCCTGAAAGAAAAAGAACAAGCACATGTTTAGATTTCAAATTTTCAGTAACAACTTTATAAAAGTTTGGTATATATTCTCAAAATAAAAAATAATTGAATTATACATCACCGGAAGAGTAAAAGCCTCCAAGGGAATTGGGGATACTGTTGTAACGAGATCAACATCATCGAATTCATTATTAATGAAATTACCATTATTTGTGACACTGCAATTACAAATTTACAATAATAGCAAGTCATGGAATGGAAATCAAAACATTTAATCGCTGTAGCTTAATGAAAAACCTGTTAATAAGAAAGTAAAGTCTACCTCTGTTGCAGGAAAACAAAAAGTAATTCAAAGGCATCATTTGGGAGTGTCAGACCAAGCTCTTCTTGAAGCTCTCTCCTGCAAACAATAAACATATAACAATGAGTTAGTTACTTATATCCATGATTAGATCCAAAATTTGCTTCCATGAGAGTTCAATAATTTACCTAACAGTGATAAGGGATGAATCCCCAACAGATATATGACCAGCACTAGAGATATCCCATAATCCAGGCCATGAATCCTTGCAATCAGCTCGTCGTTGTAGAAGAAGTTCTTGTGTACTTTCAGCAAAAAACCACACATGAACAGCTCGATGATAATCCCCATCTCTTTGAACAGCTCCTCTGTATAAGGTAGATTAAACAGTAATTGTGACTTAGAGGGATGGCTGGGTGATTTCAAATTAATCTCAACATCTGATTATTTTGACCTTAGCTAATCAACAATCGGAATCATAATCAGTTTCCCGAACACTCTAACATTGATATTGAACTTCAAATCACAATAATAAGTTTAGAGTTTTGATATGTATCCACACACCCCCTGGGAGTTATAGTATGATCAGGAAAGCCCTAGAAACATATATTAAAGAACCCTTTCAAATGTAGTCCAACTAGAAGATGAAAACGGTTATGAAATCAAACAACTGTAGAAAAGAAATATGTAATCTGACCTGGGTTTGGATACGATGCGGTGTTTGCATACGACGGTTTCTACAACTGCGAAGCAAACACCAGTAGCATTAGTGATTGTAGAACATGAAATGGCTTTGAACTGAAATAGAATAGCACAGGTGTGTATCAAGATTAGATTTAGGTCACAATCTCAATGACCACGAACAACTTTTGAAGATATGCTTCAAATTAAGAAGCACTATATGTGGTCATCAAATGATAATGAAAAAGTCAACCTCCCAACATAATTGGGAACTAGATTATACTTTTGAACACCATTTAGTGATAGAATCAATATCAGAAGTATTCAATTTTACCACCGAAGTCAAAATTAGATCCATATCAGATGCATAAACACTTAAAAGAATTAGACATTGCTGTGTAGATGATGCAAAAAACAGATTGCAAACAATCGATCGATTAGTGGAGATCTAGTAGAGAATAGAGACGACTTACTTTGGTATCGAGCATAACTGCACAGAGAATATCGATGTTATCCATGGCAGTTTGGAGATTATCAAGCGTTTCCTGATGATACTCATAAGATCCATGCGAGGAATCGATTCCAATTGCCAGATCAACGGCGACAAAAGATAATGACGCTGAGGAAGAACATGAGCGAGGGTCGTCTTTGGAGGCGATGTGACGGTAGGAGGTGGGATGAGAGAGAGAGAGAGAGAGAGATATGGACGGGGTTTACCTGATTCAGGGTAATTCATCACTAAAATGCCCCTGAATCATTTAATTATCAATGCCCCAGTGTTATTTTTTTTCAAGTATTTACAAAAATGCCACAAATGATCCTAGCCTTCTATTATTTTGATCTAACGGTCCTGGTTTGGTTCTCGGGAAACTTTGAGTTCTCAAATGATCCTTCCCCTCTCTCTCTCTCTCTCTCTCTCTATATATAATATATATATATATATATATATATATATATAAAGTTAACAATGTATTCATTAATGATACATAGATATAAAAGAAATTAACATTGTATTCATTGATGATAATGCTAAAATGGTATTGAATTTTTCTAACAAAATAACAGAGTAAAAAGAAGGAAAAAAAAGATGACTTTGTTTATTGATACTTTGTTCCTATATATACATAGAAGTACAATGATATTTGTGACATACCAATTTAATGGCCAGAAAAAACCGATTTGTTTATGTTTATTTAAATCAGAGTATCCATTTTGAAGAATAATATTGTGGATTTTGTTTCCAAAAGCATGATAATAATATTATTATAGCATTTCCGAAGAAATGTATTGTATTTATATTAAAAACGTTGGGATGTCATCGTCATTACAGTACATAAACATAAATAGAAATAATACATGCCTTACAAACATTTATCATTCTATTGACCTATAATCCATAAATCTATCATCTGATCATAACACATGTGCTCTCGTGCCACTATCTGTAATACAAAAAACTGAGTGGGTCAAGCTTGGGAGCCTGGTGAGCACATAGGGTTTTCAACCCATAATAATTAAATTCTTTTATTATATATTTTCATCAAATCATTCAACCCGATTACCCATTCCCGTTATCCTCACTTTTTGTCCCTAAAGCATCTAATTCAAGGGACCTATCCTAAGGATCATCTTCGGGATAGACAATAATGCTTATGTGATTTCTTAGCAATATATGTCAATAAGACAACTGTGGGGGTGGGGGTGGGGGATGGAGTACACCTGGTGAACACTTAGTTCAAATATACCTACAAGTTGGGAGTCTGCTAGTGTTCCACTGTACTATCTACAATAGTATGTGGTCGTCATCTATACTCTGCCAGACGAATAGATCATCTTTAAAGTCAAGGCTTCTCATCATCTATTTCATCTTTCATCTCTCATCATCTATATCATCTTTCATCTACCCATCTTTACCCACTATATTTATAGGTATAAAAATACATATACAGTTTAAATCGAGTAAACCAAGTATAAATCGTTATCTAGCATAGAAATCAGGAACACAGATAATAGGCACATATAGCATGTAATTATCTTAAATACTTCATATCTATGTGTAAGATGAAAGTAACTATGCACTCACTTGTTTAAGTGATGACTCGAAACTCAGACAACGCTTCGCTTCTAGCAATTGACTTTTTTCATTGACGTAACCTAGTATCATTATCAATAAGTCTTAGTCTAGTATTTCTTGTGACTAATTATTAGTCTATATTCATCATTAATTTAAGTTGATAAGGGACAACCATGTAAGATCATATCGGAGGTGTGGTCCATTTGGTAGATAGAGTATACTGTTTGGACATCCCACTTTAAACACCTCACTAAATCTAGCCTTGTCATCATCCCCGTAAGTGGATCAATCAATATAACGACTTGGAATCACTGATAAATCTTGTTTATAGGTTCATAATAACGATAATGAACTTAAACATAAGTTACACTTAAAGTGTAGTAAGTGCATCTAACTTACAAAAGTTTTAGCGGAAACCGGGAAATTGTGCTGGCATAACTCCGGCTCGAGAGCTTCTATTTGTCGGGCTCTTTGATGCCTAGAGCCTTGCTAAACACCCTTAAGGACTAGAAGAACTTGGACTCAAGAAGAAAGAAGTATATGAGCAATTGGATTTGAAAGATGTGAGAAAATGAGGGATTTTCACCACTTATTTATAGGCTGCCAGCAGCGATTATGCCCATCATAATTTCGGTGTACGCCCAACGTACTTTAGTGTTACGCCCAGCGTACTTGCGTGGGCAACAAGCAAAAACGCTGGTAAAACTTCAATCTTCAAAAATTCATAACTTTTGCATACAAGCTCCGTTTTTTACGTTCTTTATATCCATGCGTAGGTATTTCCATGTCCTGCAACTTTCCTTTTGACTTTGTCAACTAATTCTCGACCGCTCTTAAATTTAACAGTCTGAGAAGATTACATTGCTAATAATCGTGTAAAATTCATAACTTCTACGTACGAACTCCGTTTTTGACTGTCTTTTTATTGTTGATCTCCTATTAACGAGATCTTCAATTCTTTTTTAGATCATTTTGGCTAAAAATCGATCTCTAAAATTCGATTTTTGTGTTGTATACTGCTACGCTGAATTTTAGAAAAATCATAACTTCCTCTAATGAAGTCAGATCGGGACGCTCTCTATATGCACGCTCTCAGTTTAACGAACACTACGACTGTCATTTAGACCACTTAGGATAAAAAGTAATGTATCAAAAATTTACATTTTACAATACGCAGATTCGTGCCGGTTTAATCGTGAAACTCCGAAGAAGCATAAATTCTTCATACGAAGTCGGATTTCAACGTTCTTTATATGTACAGAATCCTTGTGACATATTCTATAAATTTGGTTAAGATTAGTTATCCTAAATAATCTTCTATCAAAAAGTCATTTTTAACATTTATTATATCTTAATTGACTAGCCCGAATCTGCGGGTGTTACAATATTACAGGAGAAATAACAAACTAAGTGCCTCTAACTAACTTCTCTAATCAATTGTTTATATGTGTCTAAATTGCAACATCATCCATTCAAGTTGAACCTTGGTGAATGCCATCAAGATTCAACTTGGATAATAAAAAATAAAATTAAGGCCCACATAGATCTTTTGTAAACATATCAACTAGTCGTTTGTTAGTTGAAATGTATTTTGGCATGACAATACCAATCTTGAATTGATCTCTTACTAGATGACAATCAATATCTAAGTGTTTCGTTCTCTCATGAAACATTTGACTCTCTGTGATGTGAATAGCAACTTTATTGTTGCACCATAATGAAATTGGAATTTTGAATTTCACCTTTAAATCTCGAAGAATGTAACTAATCCATAGTGGTTCCAACATTGTTGTTGCCAAACTTTTACACTATGTTTCACCTTAAGATCAAGAGCCATTGATTGTATGCATGAATATGTATTGTGATATATGATATTTTGGGGAGCTCACTAAGTTTCGTGCTTACCCAATTGAATATAAATGTTTTTCAGGTACTTTAGTGATTTGTGAGAAGGGCAAGGTTCGACTGACACACATGTATTCGCAACATGTTTCTACATAATGTAATTATACTATGATATACTTGAATAAATAAAAATAGAAAATTTGGGTTGAAAACCGGGAAACGATTCATATGGCGGTCACTTTTAAGGTTGTTTCATGATAATGAAAATTAGATTGTAGTCATGGGAGATTTTAATGAAGTGCGAGATGCTTCGGAAAGATTAGGATCGGTGTTCAATGAGTTAGATGCTAGAGAGTTTAATCAGTTTATAGCTGAATCAGAGCTAAATGACATGCCTTTATGTGGCAAGTCATTCACGTGGGCTAATGTCTAGGGTACAAAGATGTCAAAATTGGACCGATTCTTGATTTCAGAAGGGGTGTTTGAGAAGTTTCCAAATCTCAGCTTTGATTCTTGATAAAGGAATTTCGGATCATAATCCTATTCTTTTTTTGAGAAAAACTTAGTTAGATACCTATTCCTTTCAGATTGTACCATTCTTGGTTTGAGTTAAATGAGTTTGATAGTATCGTTAAAGAGTCTTGGGTGAATCCTACTGTGGGTGTGTCGAATGACATGGTTATTTTTAAGAAAAAGTTACAATTTCTTAAAAATAATTTTAAGAAGTGGAATAGAGAAAGAAGACAAGCAAATGAAGTGACCAAAAAGAAATTAAATGATGATAGTATGGCTATCGATGAGCATATTTCACAAGCAGTGGTGTCCGATGAGGAGATACAAAATAGATTTCAATGTTTTAAAAAGTTAAGAGATTTGGAACATTTGGAAAATCTTGACTTAGCTCAAAAAGCTAAAATTAAATGGGGTGTTGAAGGTGACAAAAACTCAAAATTCTTTCATGCAGCTATTAATCGTAGGAGGAGGCAGACAACTATTCGGGGGATAATGAAAGATGGTTTATGGATTGATGATCCAGTTCATGTGAATACTGAATTTTATGATCATTTACGGTCTCGTTTTAAAGTCGAAAGTATTTCACGACCTTCTATAATGTCGAATAGTTTTTCCAAACTTTCGGCGGATCATATCTCTTTTCTTGATGCTCCTTTTACTATTGAAGAGATTAAGATGGCGGTATGGGATTGTGGTTCTGACAAAGCTCCTAACCCTGATGGTTTTACGTTTGCCTTTTTTAAACGTTATTGGAAAATTATAAAAGAAGATGTGTTCAGACTTGTTATGTGTTTTCAAAATCGGAAGCAAATTCATTTAGATGTAACTCATCTTTCATTGCTATCATCCCTAAAGTGAAGGACCCAAAGTTTACTTCTGATTTTAGACCTATAAGTCTTATAAGTTGTAAGTATAAAATTATTGGTAAGCTTTTGGCCAATCTTCTTATTGTTGTTATTGGTTCGTTGGTTAGTGTTGAGAAATCTGCTCTCTCTAATGGCAGACAAATTGTAACATTCTGATGTTAAGGTACTTCTAATTTTAACCCCCATAATTTATTTGTGTTGCATTTTGGTCCCTAGTGGCATTTTCGTAAATAAGCCCGGGGGAGTATCCCCTGCGTACGTGTGTACGCTGAGCGTATATGTGTTGGGTTTTTAGCATTCTAACACTCCTAAGGTGTGCATGCAACCCTAAATACCTTGGATCTATGTTTTCTCTATTATACATGCAAATTGAACTTTCTAAGGTATTACCCTAACTAGCATACAAAACTTTGATACTTGGGTAATAAAACAAGTTAG